CCATCCGCTGTTGTTCAAGATGAGACGTGAATTGCACTAATGATTAATGTTGGGGACATTGTGCGTAATCAGAATTAATTAAATTTATGCATTATTCATTAAAATCCACACACAAAATCCAGATTTAGAAAAAATCTCCCCCCTCCTACAAATCACATTTCCACCCAAGTTTTCAGAAAATAGGAATGCTAATTTCCATTTACTATTGTTATTCTAATACTAGGTGTTGGTTCACTAAGGTAAACAGCTGGTGGTGCTAATTGTCCAGTTGAGTGCCATCAAACTATTACAGAAGCAGAGGGTGCAACAAGATGACACGATTAAAGTGTCAGATAAAGAAGATAAATGTGTAAAATATGATGGAATCGAACAGATTTCTTCTCAAATGTTCTGTTCTCCCTCCCAGGTTATTTGATACACAAATACACAAAATCAAGTGGATAGAAACACATTTAAATTTGTCAAGCTCAAAGTACAATTTCACTTTATTCATGCGGGTCATGCTAACTTTGCACTGTCCACTTTCGCTATAGAGATTTGAAGAAAAGGGGAATCACACAAAACACAATGCGAACAGCTTGTAATCAGGGCAATCAGGCAGCTTTCAAAAACTGTGTGAAATTAGCTGTCTGGAATGGCCAGACATGTTCTCAGACAATTGTTCTCAGACGTGGCACATTAATTAATAGGGGATCAGCACTTCTTATATGTTAAACAATGCTCAAATTGTAAATGCATCAAGCATTTTAAAAGGGGATTGAAGCTTACACTGATCGGTTTTACTGTCTTTTAGTTTCTAAATGTATAAATCCGATGAAGACTGCACTGCACTGTAGTCACACAACTGTAGTCACCTCAAAGAAAACAGAACCAAGCCTCAGTATATCGTGGAACATCCCATATGAGTGACGGCTAGAGATAAATTGGTCCTGCGTGGATGTGTGAAGAAGTGAGGAAAACCTGCCTAGTTTGCAACTGTGTTATGAGCTCGCCATCCCTTATTTTGCTGAACTGAAAGATTTAGAAGATGAATGATCGTTGATTCAGCACTGGGGGATGGAGGGGGTTGTGTTGATGTTGACGTTCACTCGGTTGTTTCATTTCAGCCATGCTGGGCCTGATGTACGTCTACTGGACCCACCTGAATATGTTCCAGACTCTGAAGTACCTGGCAATCATTGGCAGTGTAACTTTCCTTGCCGGGAACCGCATGCTGGCCCAGAAAGCAGTGAAGAGGTACGTTTTTTTTTTTCTCCAATGGGACCTGCCATAAGTGGCTCCTTAAACCCTGGAAGAAAGCCTAGCCCCGTTTAGGTGTCAAGGACTCTGGTGCTGTGGGGGCCTCTTGGTAGTTCTTACCCCACAAACCTGAGGAAAAACATCTATCTGTAGTTTCCTAGTGGGCCGTCAGAGGCAACTTTCAATATCCGACTCTATGAAAGGAGAAGAGCTCGTTGTACGCTCAGACCAGGAGAGAATCTCGACAGCAAGATCTGCAGGAGTGACGATCTGAGTGGGCAATTTCTTCACCATCACTATGTAGAGCCCTCAAGGGCCAGAGTGAGCAATTTGTAGCCTGTGTCACCGACTCAAGAGGTCACTTTGTAATTGTTCTCTTTTACTTCCTGCTCTTACGACAGCCCATTCAACCCTTCTAAGCAAGTAGATTATTGCAATTACTGATTTCACCAATGTCATTTTCTCCAATGAGGACTTTTTTTTCCCCCTCCCTTTCTTTCCTGCTAGTTTCTGTCTCCTTGAAACTGCCTGTCTCTGTTTAACCCTTCTATCCACACCTCGCTGTCTCTTTACTCCTCTTTCAGGATTGCTGCAGAGCAAAGTAGTAGGTTGGCAAAGTATAGGAGTCTACGATAAAGCCCCCCCCCCCACATTTGTAACAAAACGAGTCGGTTCTGCTTCCGTACTAAAGTAAGGGGATCCTCGCAGATTGCATCCATAGTGCATTTCCATAATGTGTGGCAGCGTGCATGGCTGTGTGGTGCTCACTCATTCTAACTCAGAGTGCTGACATGTCCTTGCTGCCCTTCCCCTGGTTTGCCTCTTCACTCATCCCACCCATGATCATTACAGCCACAGCCATGGTCGTCCTTCCATTGTGGTCTAACACTCATGGTTCTGGTTGTACCATTAAGCTTTTTGTCATGAGCCAAGTTCTGCATTGTTCACATCATGAGAGTTTCTCCGTGTTCGTGCCAGATTTCGTTGTGATTTTGTAGAAGGGTCCACATCAAAGTGCATGATCCACCCCGTGTGACGTGACTCAAGAGAGGTTTTCATTCATGTCTGTAATAACTAACGTTTGTTTGTTTTCTATCTTCCGCAGAATTGAGAAAAAATAAGGCCAAGAAAATTGGAAGATGACACTGAAGAGACTCTTTTTTTTGTTTGTTTCCAAGGAGTCACTCAATGAAATCAGACTTTAAAAAAAAAAAAAGGCGTTGAAGTTTAAGAATCCAATTGACGGTTTTAACATGCAGTTTGTCTGTGTTGCCAAATGGAAGAAACTGAGACATCACAGTGTCTCTGAGAGACTGGACAAACACTCACTGACAGATTGTCCTACAGAGGACTGTCGAGCTACTGATCATTGCACTTCATCTTCCTGTGAGATTTGTTTTTTTTTTTCTGCCCAACATGCCAGTGTTTTCTAGGTGGGGGCTTTTTATTTGTGGTTTTGTGATGAAATTTGGGTTTTGTCTTCTTTTTTTTTTTTTGTACATTCCTCTGTTGTCACTCAGCGCCCGTTTCACCTTGTAACAAAAGCTCACATTTGACAAATGGTAATAAACCTCTGGCAGCAGCACTGATATCGCTGGCTATGGCAGTGTGTTCGCCTGTGGTAGTCTCCTATTTGATACAGAGTTGATGCCCCCTAGGAAAATTGCTAATGATAAAGTACGGGCAATTTGAGGATATGATGTTTTTTGTAATGAAGAAGAGGAAATAAAGAAATTGAGGTGAGACTAAGTGTCTTTGTCAGTCCCAGTGTTGTTTGTGTTGGATCAGTGTGCCAGTTTGCAAGCATTGAAACACACTATTTACCATTTATCTGGCTTGATGTTGGTTCTGTTGTCCACAATTTCTGCCATGAAAATGCACAAATGTATCGGCTGGCATGGTCCTGCTGAAGTGTACAATGTCACATACTCCAAACTTTGACCACCTAAAACATTATGAAAGAAATATAGTTAAGCTTGTTTCCTCTTTGTGCACAATTTTTGCCACAAAAATGAATTTTGTCCTTTTTTAACCCCATGGGACTCTTTTGTAATAGGAATTGCATTAAAAAAAAAATTCCTTAGCCTGCATGAACCAAAACTTCAATTAACTCTCATTATGTCTGAGCTCTGAAATTTCCAGCGAAAATCGGAAATGAGGAATCTGTCCTACCTGTGATAGATTGTAAATAATACAGTCGTCCTCAAATGTATTCATACTCTCCCATTAAAAAAGGAAAAAAAACAGCTGTTACTGAAATAAGTTGAAATTGACAAACGTAATAAGAAATAAAAGTTTATGAAAATAATGAGATTAATTTTGAACTGTGGTTCAACAGAAATATTTAAAAAAAAAAATAAAAATCATGATGGGACCCGTAAACTAATATTTTGTTTGAGCCAATCACTGCAATCAAGTGTTTTCTGTAACTCTCAATCAGACTTCTGCACCTGTTGACAGGTATTTAGATTCACTACTCATTCACTAAATTATAATTTAGAAATTTTTTTATTTATTCTTACTTTTTTCAGTTTCCAGTTATTTGAGTGACTATTGTGAATTTTGCCTTTTCTTTAATGGACGGGTCTGAATACATTTGAGGACGACTCTATGTTTTCTCCCTCCTCTTCCATTAGAGAGGTGGGAATCACCATAGCAACCAGTGACTCAGCAGCTAATTGGCTGATTGGACTCCTGTTTTCCCACCGGACAGCAGCTTTACTGCAAATCGGTACAAAACACAGATATACTACAAAGATCTCTTTAATTATATTCTTAAATTACTGTTTTTTCTGAAAGATTATGCTGAAATATCAAAATTTAAATTGAAATATTCTCTCTTTCCTCGTATCAAAAGCATAGGCCATGTGTTTATGTGTCTCATAAGTCATACACTTTGGAGGCCATGTGTTTTTTTTTCATTTTGTATTTGTTTTTACAAATCTCCCCAGCTAGCTAGCACGGTGAGGCTTTCTGTATCATTACTCACAAGTGTTTTGCAACTCCAACATGTGTGGCTGAATTAAGGCTTGTCTGATGCTTAAAACAAATGCCTGTTGTACGTGCAAAGCCACTTTTTTAGTTCATTTTTTGAAGTGCTGTAACTAAAGAGTCCATCAGGTATCCCAGTTAGCTGTAACGGCGACCCAGCATGCAGACTGCTGTGACCTTTAATCAAAATGGGGGACGGCTGTTGAAGTTGTCATCAGTTATATATGCTGTTTTCCTACAGTAGCTGCAATGAAAAGGCCTATTAAAGAATTTAGAAAATGTCAATCAAGGACACGGTGTGCACGGTTCTGAGCAGAGGAACTTGCAAAGTACAGCCGGTGAAAACACCTGTATGAGCTGGAGATGTACGGTCCTAATGAGAGGGTGATTCTACTCGAAGACTCGGTTTCCTACATGAGAGATTTCTGCATTTGTCTGTGCTTTTCCCAGTGCGTTGAAGTGGACGAGGCTCAGCGAGGAAACACTTCTGCGTTTTAAAACACACACACGGAAACACGAGCTTGAGCTGTAGGTTTTCTTCACAACTTTTAATGTGAACCAAAGACTATTATCATCATTTGTAAAGAACAGTTCAGAGGAACTCAAGGAAAAATTGTGACGATTATGAAAACTGAGAGGCGATCTGGTGGCAGCGGCCTTCGGTTTCTCCTCAACTCAGCAACCTGCACAGAGTAAAGACTTCCAGTTAGTGAAAGATGAAGCTGGGATTACAGAAAAATCTGACTGTTCCAGCTGTGTGTTAGGTTTACTCACCTGGGACTCATGACGTTCCCGTGCACTTTCCTGTACCTCTGATCGCTCTGGATGGATGTAAGATCCTCTTTATAGGTTCCTTCATAGATATCTGACAGACGCTTCATGTAGCTCCCTCTTTCATCTCTGTTAAAAAAACAGAAACAAAAATGTCCCCGGTTTTCTTTCTTGCCAGTAGACTCCTGTTGATCATTGTTCTTGCCCCACCTACCCCAGCCGTTTGCCCATGATTGTCTGAAGAAACTTCCTGGCAGAGATTTGGCCCAGGACCTTCCTGTAACTGTTTGTAAAGATGGCATCAGCATGGCGTCCTGAGCTAAAACCAGAGCGTGGACACCTTACGTCAGTTCAGCTACTACACAGCAGTATTCTTGAGTGAGAAGTAAACAGCAGTGCAAGGAAGCAATAAGAGAAAGATAGCTGGGAGATATGCTGCAGTCCAGCTGAACAGCTTAAAGCAAGGGTGTCCAATCCTGGTCCTCGAGGGCCACAATCCTGCATGTTTCAGATGTGTCCCTCTTCCAACACACCTGATTCAAATCATCAGCTCATCATCAAGCTCTGCAGAAGCCTGATAACGATCCTGATCATGTGAATCAAGTGTGTTGGAAGAGGGAAACATCTAAAACATGCTGGATAGGGGCTCTCGAGGACCAGGACTGGGCACCCCTGGCTTAAAGGTTCAGTTCACCCAAATTATAAGGAGACATACTGACATATAATAGAGTTAATTGTGCATCTATTTGCGCACTCAGCTCTCAACGTTTTACCATTTTGAACAGGAATGAGGAAGTTCAAACTGAATTCACCTTTTTATACCCAAATATGAGCCACTGGACTTCTCTGAGAAGTCACAAATGAATCACACATACAACCACGAAAACGATTTTTTTCTGTTCAGGAATGCAAGTTAATAACTATAACTTGACATTTAATAAAGAAAAAATAATGTGCTTTACTTTTTTTTTTCATTTTTCTTTTTTTTCTTAGATTAGATGAGATAGAACTTTATTGATCCCTTTGGTAGGGTACCTCAGGGAAATGGTTGTTCTAGAAACAGTACAAACACCGACAGAGGCAGGAGCACACATCAGTTTAGGAAAAAAGCAGTAGACAAGGAAACAAAGGAAACAAACTGTTGGATAGGACAACAGCACAGTGTAATAATAATAATAATAATAATAATAATAATAATAATAATAATAATAATAAAAAAATATGTAGAATGGAAACAGTAAACCACTTAGGGAGAAGACATAAAACAGTAAATTTAAATTTCCAACAATAATAATTATATTTTAGCATTAGAAGTATGAGTTTGGTTAAAGAGCTTCTACGTACTGGTGTATTAACTATTACAGAAACATAAGAAATGATTTTGGTATTGACCAGTGCTCTTAATTTAGGGCGGCTGTGGCATAAACTTTACACTGGGTGGTGGTCTAATGCATTTGTTAAGCACTGTAACTCACAGTTTGCTTTACCTTTAATGAATAAATAGTCCTTAAAAAATGTCAATAGTGAGGTCTGTAATGGGGACAATTATTGTCTTGAGGTAAAGTTTTGAAGCTGTGAGTGCCACAGATAAAACTCCAACACACCTCTGTTGTAGGCAAAAAACAAAACAAAACAAAACACCAAAACAACTTAAAGGCAGGTAAACCCCAAAGTAAGATTAATGAGAAAATATGTTGTTGGGTTTTTGCTTTTTAAAAAAAGCAATAATCTGGATAAGCACACCTTTCAACTCATATTCAACATGAACCACTCAGCCTATATTAACATACAGACCGCAACTCTGCTCGCTCCCTGGGAGGATGTGTGTCTTCCTCCAGCTGCTCCGGTGGATTCTCTATGGAGGACGTCATCAGGATGGACATGTCACTCTGACCAAACCTGAGAAATATCCCCCATAACCTCAATGAACACTCTTCAAATATTTCCACACACACACTGTTGATAAGTCCATTTATTCCATTTTTGACCCAGAACACAAGCAGATTTTATTAAGTGTTTGTACTTGTGCTTGATTTTAGATGGAAAATATCATCAGTTTGCAAAATGCTCCGCTCCTGAAAATTACATATTCTGCAGCTTTGGCTCTGGATGCTGTGAAACACGGTGATTAATTCAGACATCTTGACCCTTTTTAGCATAACAAGAGCAGAGGACAAAGCTATGACATGCAAAGTAACCACTGACATCATGTTATGATCATGGAGATGATTATTCTTTTAGCACTGATGACACGATCAAGTCTGTTAACACTGAGCTCAAATCAGTGTTTATTTTCTGGATGTATATGTTTAGATCTTTCATCTGTTTTCTAAAGCTAAGCAACAAGACGGAGGGAATTTATGGAGGGAATTTATATTATTTTTTTAGGCATCTATAAAAAATACAAATAAAAACAACTCAAAGTAGTAATCAGCTGCTTTGTGCATTATTTCTGCTGCCATCTCCAAAAACTAAAAAGCTAAGTTAAACATTTTTATTTACTTAAAATAAATAAAAAAACCACTGTCTAATAATGGGAATAAACAAGACATTAAGACATTCTGGTGAATTTGTCAGCACTTACCTGATGGTTGGGTACAGCGGGGAGCCTGATAAAGACATGACCAGGCAACAAAACAACAGCAGTGCAGCTTTCTCCATTATCACAGCCTGTCCTGGCAAAGAGTGGACAGCCAGAAGAAATGACAGTAGAGATTACATTTGAAGAAAAAGAAAAAATGCTGAAACCACAGTTTCCTTCAACCATCCTCATCGCAAATGGAAGTTGAAGTTGAGTCACGCAGACATGAACGCTGGTGATGAGACAGATCAACATTTAAAAGCTCAGATGTTACAAGTGTACGCCCATAAAATGAATTTACACTGTCAGAGTTACTTACCGTGCAAATACTGAGCGTCCCTGCAGTTCCTCTATTTGGTGCCTTCCAGTCTCATCATCATCTCTCACTGCCAGGAAAGACTGTAAGAAAGAAACACGGGAACGGCACTGTTGGTTCGTCCTGCATCCATGGTCAGTTTATACTGAACCTGTGGCTCCCAGTCACTCCCACATCACACATGATCGCCCTCTCGCTGTCTCTCTCTCCTTGAGCTGAGCTGTCTGCATGCACTCTCCTTTTGTCTCACTTACTCAGATTCAGTTTTTTATTTTTTATTTTTTGCCATGCCATAAATGAAGACAGAAATACCAAATATAAGCACAAGAATTCAAAAATGTAAGAAAATATGACGAGAAGTGTTTGACATGTGATGAAATAATACAATGCTTTGAGTTGAACAGTAGGGTATTTGCTGGTGTAAAATTAAGAAATGAACAGTTTTCAGATTTGTTATAGTAAAAACACAGGTCCCACTGTCGGAGCTTGGTACAAAAAAGTCAGAATTGAGATTCAAATATTTTATTTTTTTTCCAACACTTTTTCAGTACTCACCTTTATTTTTGATTACAGACTTAATCCTGCATGGGATGTTAACATCGTTGCATCACAACTAGAAGGTTGCTGGTTCATGTCCCAGTGAGGACACCCGGGATCTTTCTGCGTGAAGTTTGCATGTTCTCCCCGTGCAGCGTGGGTTCTCTCCAGGTTTCCAGCTTCCTCCCACATAGTCCAAAAACATGTTGAGGTAAATTGGTGATTCTAAATTGTGTGAATGTGAGTGTGCTTGGTTGTCTGTCTCTAAGTGTAGCCCTGTGATAGACTGGTGACCTGTCCAGGGTGTCCCCTGCCTTCACCCTGAGTCAGCTGGGATAGACTCCAGCCCCCCGTGACCCTAGTGAGGATTAAGCAGTGTATAGATAATGGATGGATGGATGGATGGATGGATGGATGGACAAAGCATCATTCCCTAGTGAGGATTAAGCAGTGTATAGATAATGGATGGATGGATGGACTTAATCCTCATTGGCATGGAGGATCCCAAATGTCTGAAGAGTATGCTGCCATTCTTCTTCAGTGTTTTTTTCAGATGCAGTTTATTGAAGGATGGTGATGTTTCTCTTTAAAATACCCTATAAGGGTTCTATTACATTAGTTTCAGGTTGCATACTCGGCCAGATCATAGTTTTGACTTTGTTTTTTCTTTAGAAACTATTGTGTGATCTTAGCAGTTTGTTTTTGATCATTATAGTGCTGGAATAGTCCTCTTCCACCAAGCCTCAGCAAACTTGTCAGCCAGTATTTTTGGTATATCTACAGGTCTTCATGGTGCCATCAACACCTTCTGCACTCATGCATCCCCATATCATCACATTTCCACCTATGTGCTTCAGTGTCAGGACTACACATTCACTGTTATGGTCCTGATCCAGTTAACACCAAACATGCTGGACCTCATCTGAACAAATTCTGAACAAATTCATCTGTGTCTAAAGATGAATTATAATTATTATTTTTGTTTTGTTACCACCTTGGTTTGATTGTATTTTGCTTTGTAACCAAATTCTTAGTTACGACCATGTTATTACCAGATTTATTTATTTTTATTTTTTTAGCTACTTAAGGAAAAATATATATAACAGATACACATTCTTAAATTTCAAATCAGATAAAACAGCTTTGAATGATCAAAAGTATTAGAAAACAAATACAAAAAAAACAAACAAAAAAAATCACACTGGACCGAGTTGGATAATAGACCCAAAAATGTTAGGACCAACATAACTAGTAATTAATGCGCTAAAGCACGGCTAGATAAAAGAATATACTGCTAGTAATTAAAAATATTTTTTAAAACACAGTCAAAACAAACAAACAAACAAAAAAAACCCCACAAAAATATAACACACCCTTCATTCAGCCTTTCATAGGTTTTCATTTTAGTTTAATCCAACAGGTTGATACTGTGTATGTAGTTTTTTTGTTCTTTTAATTCTGTGTTTTAGTTTGTTAATGTCTGTTATGTTTTATGTGCTGAGGTTTATTGCATACATACAGTACAAACCAGATAAAGTCACCTTAAGTTGTGACATGCGGAAAGTTGCTTCATGTCGACGCGCGTTTCAAGTCGGACCGTGAAGTTGGACGCACCACTGTGGACGGATGTTTTTGGCGAACGGACAGCGCTGGATGCATGAGGATTTATTAGTGTATTTGTAAATCTTGCGTCAGTCGTGACCGCTAAAAGTCAACCGAAACAGTGAGAAAACAAGCTAAAATAATTCGTCTGCCGCTAAATTCGGACTAACGTGAAACACAAAAAGTGATTTATGGAAGCTGTGGTGACGCAGTAAGAGCTAAAAAGTCCAGTTTTCCCCTAAAACTATGATTAGTATGTTGCGACATTTTTAATTTTGCACACTAAACGGTTTTTATGTGACATTTAGTCAACGTAACTTCTAAGCTAACTTAGACAACAAGTGTTTGTTAGCGGCTAACTGCAGTAAATGGTTGTTTACGTGGAGCTACAGGAGAAGTCTGTCTGAACATGGAATACGTCAGGACTTTAAAACCCTTGTTGAGCATCCCCCACCGGTGGATACCTGTCAGGTGTATCCAGCCCAGGTACTGTTCTAAGTCAGCTGTCACTTCAACAGAGAGGAGGACAACTGTAGGCAAGTTCAAGAGTCAGATATCCTCTGGTCCAAGCTTTCAGGATTTCATCAAAGGAGTTAATACCAATAAAAAGATCAGTTGTGATGTTGATGGAGAACTTTCACACAGACATGAGTATCTTCCTGAAGACCTGGAGATGGGAAACTCACGGAAAGGTGAGTCTGCATGACTGAAAGGCTTCTGTAAATGAATTGGGACAATGCTAAAGTGGTGTTTTGCTTTTTCTTTTTCAGTGTATTTTGAAACCTATGGATGCCAAATGAATGTAAACGACACAGAGATAGCTTGGTCCATCCTCCAGAAGAAAGGATACCAACGCACAGTTCATTTAAATGAGGTACAGTTGACCTGTGTTTATGTTTTTGCCATTTTAATATCACGTGTTTGGAGCTCACAGTTCTTCTGTACTCGCAGGCGGACGTTGTCCTTCTGGTGACGTGCTCCATAAGGTGAGAGGATAACAAACTGGAAAGAATGGCTTTGAAAGTGTGTTTTTAAGTCTCGGACAGCTGATTTGCTCAAACTAACGGAAACAACGAAACTCTTTCTTTAACAGAGAAAAGGCCGAACAGACAATTTGGAATAGACTACAACAACTAACAGCCATGAAGAAGAAACGATTAAAGACTCAGACGCCAATGAAAATTGGGATTTTGGGTAAGTTACCTGGGAAATGTACCCACAGGGATTCAGCTTGGGTTTGTGAGGAGGGGAGATTATGTCCCGTGAGGTGGAGGATTACAGACCTCGCAGATATCGGGATGCTTTCTTAGTCGGATATAGTTCAATGAAAACTGTGCACATTGTGTTCTGTGGATGCATATTGCCCAAAGTACAAAGAAATAATTTCTTGATTGAGATGTTACAGCTGAATCTTGTCCTTTTTTGAACAAGAAGAAAAACTTAATTCCCTTCCCCTCGACCTTATTGGTGAAATTTCAGAGTCTAATGTCTCAAATTAAATTTGCCACCAAGGTTCTCATTTTTATTTGATTTCATTTGTGCACTTTCTGTACCTTTTAGTAATTTGGATGATGCAACATTTAAATGAATTGCTTTTAATTGATTCAGTAAGTAAGCACTGACATTCCTGTCACACGAAAAAAAGAAAAGATCTTGTACAGACCCAACTAAAGCTTCTACAAACTTATAGTGCATAAATGACGTTTTCTTTATTAGGCTGTTTGTGTGTTGCCTCATTTTTTGATTGTCTTAGGTGATAATTAAGCAATAATTCTACTAAATTGAATTGCATTTAAGCAGCAAAACTGAAAACTCTCACATCAAAATGAAAAAACACAGTGATTTTCTAGAGAATATTATATTTGGGCTCTTGATTAAATTAAAAATGCCCTGATGGTGCAGGACTCACCATGAGCACGGCCGCTAAGGTGCTAACGATTTAAAAACCGTGCAGTGGAAGCATTTCGGATGGGTACGATCACTATGGTACGTCAGAGGATGTAAACAGTTATTGAAGTTGCTGCTGCTGTGCCACCTGAGTAACTTGCGTGCAGCCCCTCCCTCAGTTTGGAGACAGTGTGGATCATGCTGCTGTGTGTGAAAGCTTTAAAGGAAAGAACACAATATTCTAGATTTGTTTGTTCAACGCAGTCAAATTTCAGGAGTCCTACTAGTGTGTGAACTGGTAACGTCGCCGCATACAGAGGTTTCAGAGACATATTTCTGGGTGTCCATCTGTCCAGGCTGCATGGCGGAGAGACTGAAGACGGAGCTTCTGGAGCGAGAAAAGCTGGTCGATGTCCTCGCTGGTCCCGATGCTTACCGCGACCTTCCCCGTCTCTTGACTGTCGCTGACGGAGGAATTCAGGCCAGCAACGTGCTGCTGTCTTTAGAGGAGACGTACGCCGACGTCATGCCGGTCCACCACGCTCCTCGGGGATACAGCGCTTTTGTGTACGTTGTTTATTCACCCTCCAGACTTCTTGTAACACTACGTCTTTTTATATTGTGTCCACTGATGATTCTGTGTGCTTCCTGTGTGCCGGCAGGTCCATCATGCGAGGCTGCGACAACATGTGCAGTTACTGCATTGTTCCCTTCACCCGAGGTAGGGAGAGGAGTCGACCTGTTAGCTCCATCCTTGAGGAAGTTCGCATGCTGTCTGACCAGGTAAGTCATGACGTCAACAATCTGCTCGGTCAGTTAAAGCCCGACACTTATTTAAAACAAGTAGACATGCAGTGGTAGAATAAAATAAGCACACCAGAACCTTGTGAAGAGTTTAATAGTAAAAGGTTCCTACCATGGACTGTATATAAAAGATGGACATGATGTCACCCCTTGAGTTTGGTCATCATGTTAGTCTTTTGAAACCGGAGTTAATAGGCAAACGATGGATCCGATTGGAGAACCTCAGAACACCATAGTTAGCACCACCTTAAAACATGCTCTGCTTTATCATCTGTTTCACTCTAAACAGCACCATCATTTACAAAATGAATGTTCTATTAAAAAGTCTTCCTGTGATTGAGTCCACAGTGACAAGTAGAGTCATTTTCTCATCGACATCTATACAATGAGACTTCTTTTTGCAACCAGAGAAGTCGCCCCACTTCCGTTTTTCTTGTAGAAAGTCTGTGGCTTACTGTCATGAGCTGTAAACATGATCTATTCTGAAACAGCAAATGCTCTAGTCCTGTGTGTGTGTCTTTGTGTTGTCAGGGTGTGAAGGAGGTGACGCTGCTGGGTCAGAATGTCAACAGCTACAGGGACACGTCAGAGCAACAGTTCTGTGGCTCAGACGCGACCAGGCTCAGCCGAGGCTTTAAGACCGTCTACAGATTAAAACAGGGAGGTCTGCGCTTCTCCGACCTGCTGGACCAAGTGTCACGCATCGATCCTGATATGAGGATCAGATTCACTTCTCCTCATCCCAAGGATTTCCCCGATGAGGTACATGATGCTACACCGTGTGTTGATTTCCAGCTATCAGGTTGTAAATATAGATGTTTTCTGTCATTTTGAGACACAACTGTGGTAGTTTCTGTCAATAATTCATTCTGGCTCATTTGGCTTCCTGACCTGATCTGCAAGTTGGTGTTTGCAGGTTTTGCATCTGATTGCGGATCGAGGGAACATTTGCAAGCAGATCCACCTTCCAGCCCAGAGTGGAAGCAGCCAGGTTCTGAAAGCAATGCGCCGCGGGTGAGAAATCAGTTTCTTTTGAAATTAAATAGTCAAAGCGATTCATTTTGTAGTATCTCTAAAAATGTGAGTGTTATAATAACATGTATTTTCTCTTTATGTACAGTTACACCAGAGAGGCCTACCTTGAGCTTGTGAAAAACATTAAGCAGATCATCCCAGGTAGGCTGCAAAAATAAAGTTTGCTCTTTGATTTGTCACCTGAGCAAAGACCTTCTCAAGTTGCACAAGATAGAAGTCACTACAGAAACCACTTCTGACAGTTGATTGTCGTGTGATTTGGATGTGAGTGCATAAAAGGGAGATCTTATTTTCACATATAAGCTTCTTGACAAAATCTAGCTACTTTCTGACCTTGAAAAGCCGTTTGCATACTTCTAGCTTTTCAGTGAGCAGCTTATAGACTGGCTGAGCTGGTCTACCCAGACATGACCAAAAGAAAAGAAAACCCAAATACTACAGGAAAAAGACCTTTCTTTATGTAATCCACAGGTATCTCAGTGGAACGGGTGGTTTAAAAAGCTCAGTGCGTGTAGAAAAACATCTCATGTACACTAAGCAGGTATAGAAAATGGATGGACAGATGCACATTGACTTTTGCATCTAATGTCTAATCGCATTCAGTTCATGGCAAATTACTGGAAATCCCTCATTTGTTTAACATTAGTCATGTTTGTGTTCCAGGTGTGAGTCTCAGCAGTGACTTCATCTCAGGCTTCTGTGGCGAATCCGAGGATGACCATCAGCAGACGCTGTCTCTAATCAGGGAGGTGGGCTACAATGTGGGTTTCCTCTTTGCCTACAGCATGCGAAAGGTGAGCTGCTGTTCCACCACTAGTCTGCACTGCCTTTTAAAAAGACATCCAAGCTCAGAAATAATTGAACTTCGTCGTTTTGTTTAACCTGCCCTCTTGCGGTCGTCGTGCGTAGAAAACCCACGCCTTTCATCAGCTGCAAGATGACGTACCACCAGAGGTGAAGCAGCGCAGACTGGAGGAGTGCATCGGCGTATTTAGGGAAGAAGCCATGAAGGTCAACAGCAGCCTCATCGGCAGCACACAGCTCGTACTGGTGGAGGGAGTGAGTACTGCACACAGGAGGCACATGTGATGAAAGCCCTCTTTTTAAACATAGGATATGTAAAAGTAAAAAAGTAAAAGTCATACTCCTGTATCACTGCACCGGGTTCCTTTAACCTGTTACCGTGCAATACTGTTCAACTCTGGTTTCCATTTTTGTGCAGGAAAGTAAAAGATCTGCTGAGGACCTGTGTGGGAGAACTGACGGCAATATGAAAGTGATTTTCCCCAAAGAGGATATTGCTGTTCAGGCTGCGGAGTCCGGCTCGGCACCAATCTGTGCTGGAGACTATGTGCTTGTGAAGGTAGGCTCAAGTTCATACAGGTACAGAATAGAGCCTGACTGCTGATGTTAACTATGGATATGGATTTATCTCAAATATGTGGATGTGTGTTTATTTAATGTCAAAGACAGAGTATGTTAACAGTCTTTTAAAAACCATGTTGCTGTTGTCCTCTAAAACTGAGTAGTGATTACCGTAAATTCCGGACTATTGAGCGCGTCTGAATATAGGCTGCAACTTTAAAAAGAAAACAAGTTTTGTACATATATAACTGCAGGTGTCCATGTTGTCATAGGAGATATTTACAAAGAAAGATTGTTTTACTTTTAATTAAGTAAATGCTTTTTTCCGAACAGTGCCTGTAACACGGCTGGTTAAAAAAAACAAAAAATACGGCAGCCTACCAGGAAAAGTCATTGATCACTATCTTCATCTTCCTCCTGCTCACTACAACCACTAAAGTCGTCTTCTTCAGTGTCGGAATTAAACAGCCTCAGAATTACTTCATCACACACTTCCTCTGTATTTCTTTGTCTCTCTCAATGTCACTTTTGTCTCGAGGCAAATTCGTACAACTTAAGCCGCAGTGTTCAAAGCGTGTGAAAAAAGTAGCGGCTTATAGTCCAGAATTTACGGTAAATTAAAAACATGTTTGGAAATGTCTGTACACTCATCCCAAGATAAAACCCATGTGTTGTTGTGGCCTATCAACTGCAACATCAACGAGCCAAGATTACAGCATGAACAGGTTCCTAGCTGTCAGTGGTTATTTCAACAGTCGTCACTGTAAAGATCAATCGCTTTCTAACATTTCTGCATTCAATCGTTCATTCTTCTGGCTGCAGGTTTCATCGGCCAGCTCCCAGAGCCTGAGAGGTCGAGCCCTCAGTCACGCGTCCCTGAGAGGCTCAGCGAAGCACGGTGAGACTCGGACAGAACCACGATCCATGTACGTCGCTGATTCACTCGGGTGACACCACATGAAACAGTTATCGAGGCACCTTTCCTTACTTCTGTTGTCTGACTTCGAAAAATGCACTGAGGCTGTATTTCTTGTGGGAATTTTGCTCATATTTGTCACTTGGACTGCTGTTACCAGCTATACTGTTATTTACATTCACTACCAACTATGTGTATGTGTCTATGTACATGTTGAACTATTTATTAAAGAGGATGATATATACTTTGTTCAAACCAGCCCTCTGGTGAAAATCACTTTTATTTGCCTTGTTAACCTGTCATTATTCTTCAAATGTGGAAAAACATATCTTGAGTGATACAATAAGTCGACATTGTTGCTGAGGGGTTGCTGAGGGGTTGCTGAGGGGTTTCACCTTGAGACTGCTCAAAAAATACAGATGTAAACATGCAGGATAGGGTTTTCTGTGTCTTTATTCTTCTTAAGAAATGGCTTCTGATTGCAACTTGTATTAACATGAATTAACATGAAGTAGTGTGATCAGACTCGTAGGTGAGCCGGTGTGCTCGCGGTGCAGCAAGGAAGGAAGCATCAGTGTAGTCATTTCAAAGCAGATTATTTTCATGGTACAATCTTTCAAAGGTTTTGACACACAGATGAGTTTTTTAGGCGTTTGATTCACCCCCGTGAGGAGACTTTAATCACAGCACTGTGACGCGTTTTGTCTGAAGCGGTGGTGTTTGATTGATGCTGTGCCATTTTTATTGGCTTCTCCACACTGCCATGAAAATGTCACCAATCAGCACATTTGTAGAATCGCTCTGTGAGCCACAAAGTTGGGAACTGTGAGTGAGAATTCACCTAAAGTCAGCAGCAGAAAGTGCTGTGAAATGCTTCGTAAGGAGCATGTTCTTTCAGAAGACAGTATTGTGGTGACAGCAGCAAACCGCGTCCTGCAGTTTTTTTTTTTTCCTGCTATGACAAGACTGCAGCAACTCTGCTGCTCTCATCCACAGCTCAGGGAAGGAAAAGAATATACAGAAAACACACCATTGAGAAATCTAAGGTGATATCCAAAGCTGTAGATCTTTATTATTATCATTCTTGTTGCAGAATTTAAATTAATTTAGATGCTTCTTTAAAATTTGTGTCTGGTAGTTGTTCTCCAGCTGTGATTGTGCTTTTATTGCGGCATACCCAAGTGCAGAAGACAATCCTCTGGAATGCAGTTCAGCCTGTGAACTGAACATCTGTCCCAATCAGCATGTAGTCCTAAAAAAGATATAGTTAACAGCTTTGAGGTTATGAATTCTGTTCACCAGTTAGACATTCAAGATGTTTTCTACAAAGTTCTAAACGCCACATTACGTCTCATGACGTCATATAAGAAATACAACAAGCTCACAAATACGCTGTTTCATAGAAAATATCAAGCCTCTGACCTTTAGGACTTGAAGCTGGGTGTTCACAAGCTTCGTCTTTCCAAATGTAGGGAGGGGGTGTCCTTTACCAAGTTGAGCTATGAAGTAAAATTCATACCGTTAGATCAGATGGTCACAACAGCACAGTGATATTTACCAGCAGTGTTCGTATATAAAAGCTCAAAATGCTTTACATAAAACAGAAATTATGAAACAGACAAACATGGAAAAACATAATAACTACAAAACATTTAACAATCCAATTACAATAAAATCAAAAGATAATACAGTGGTCCTCATATTTATTCAGACCCTTCTATTAAAGAAAAGGCAAAATTCACAATAGTCACTAAAATAACTAGAAACAGAAAAAAGTAATAATAAATGAAAATTTGCTGAATTATAATTTAGTGAAATAAGACATTGCTTTTGAATTCTGGTTGAAAAGAATAATTCAAAACAAACAAAATTGTCCCGAACAAATTAGAGCACTTTGCTGATGAGCAGTGAATCTAAATATCTGTCAACAGGTGTAGAAGTCTGACTGAGAGTTACAGAAAACACTTGACTGCAGTGATTGGCTCAAAGGGTTGGTCAATAAAATATTAGTTTACGGGTCCCATCATGCTTGTTTTTTATATTTCTGTTGAACCACAATTCCAAAGCAATGTCATGATTTTCATTACATGTGTGTTTATTGTTACTTTTGTCAAGTTCACCTTATTTCAGTGACAGCTGTTTTTTTCCTTCTTTAATAGGAGGGTATGAATACATTTGAGGACGACTGTATGTCAACTCTACAAAACACAAAGCTTCCTAAAACCAAATGTTGCAATTCTAAAAGCTGTAATGTGTTAAATAGTTAAAAGCCAAATTTCCTTTTTATCTCAGGACCTCAGACAATCATCAGACTATAGTTATCATCAGCTTGCAGATGGAAGAATCTGCAATATATCTCATAACCTTAATCAATGTAGAACTTGGTATATAACAGAATTTTATAATCAGCCCTAAGAGATACAAGAAGCAAGCGCAGATGACCCAAACTCACTGGTGTGGTCCTTGTATTTCACCTAAATAAAGAAATGCACTTACAGAAGTGAAAAGTCCGACTCACCATTCAGTTTCGGTATCACCACCACTTTGAGGACCATTTGGAACATGTTGTCCAGAGGTTTGAACTGTAGGATAGGGTTAGGGTTGGTTTACTAAGTCGTCGCTGATGGTGGACACAGTGGTGTGTGTTAAAATGCAGCTTCTCACCTGAAAGTCTCCTACGTAACTTGTGGCCAGGGTCAGATTGATTCTGCGCAAATTGGGCAAAATTAGAACGTGATGTTAGTCTGAACAAAGACCTTTTGGCTCCATTTGTGTCTGTTTTTTTTAGTAACTCACTTGTTGAGGGCGACGTCTCCAGCCAGGCTCATTCCACTAACAAACACATGGGCGCTGACGCTGGTCTCCTGTCAGGACAACAGTGGCAAAAACAAGAGTGTTTTTCTAAATGACACAGGGTCTTAAAATAATAATTTTGTCATTCTTTCAACTGTGTAACCTACCAAGTTTAGAACAAAAAGAGGGGCAAGTGTGGCGTTGGGTTGGATAGCGTAGGCTGTCACTGTGGCGGTGGCCTGAACCGTCACGTTGTTGGGTTGAAAAGTAATGATGGGATCTTTCACTGTCTTCACCAACAGTTTCATCATCAGACCTGGAAATTGCTTCGCAATCTTGAAAAACAAAAAAACAAGACATGCATAGTAATACTAATTGTGTACAAACTAGGACAAGTGTCAACGCTTCTAAAATGAGTTTAACACATTGTCACCTGTGGGATGAAGATTCCAAATGTTTTGGTGTTGAGTCGGAAAGGAGAGCCTTGTGGGATCTGTTGTGACAGAGAAGGACGGATCAGCGTGACGCTATGGAAGCAGGTTGCGTTAGAGCAGAGGTTCTCAAACTGTTTGAGCCACAACCTCCAAGATAACAGAAGTTTGTGTTCGTGACCCCCCAATTTGAATTTTTAATATAGCATGAGTAATAACTTTTTTGTTCATGCATTACTGTTAAAAATTAATTTGTTAATGCCACAGATTCATCTCTTTACATTCACATGTACATGAATGAATTATTTGAATTTATTTCGAACAAATGAAAGGGAAAAAATATATATATAAAAAAAAGAAAATAATTTTAAAAATAGCAAAAAAGAATAATAATATCGCATAATTAAATCATAATATTAACAAGTTCAAAAAAGAAGTGGGAATAATACAAATTTATTTGATAAATGTAGGCTTCATTATTATTTTTTTCCTTTTTTCCTTTTTTTCTTTTTTACAATGATCTGAGATTATCTTGGGACCCCCATGAGGGTCCCGACCCCCAGTTTGGGAACCACTGTGTTAGCGTGTTAGGAGGAGGCGGCGTACCATGTCGTCGGTGATGTACAGGCTGAGGGCTCCTGCTTTGTTATAGACGAAGGCTGCAGAGTTGGCGGTGAAGACAGACACGCCGATGTACAACATTCTGTCGATCTGGGGCGGCAGGGAAAAGTCTGCAGGGGAGAACGGAGGCTCCTGGTGCTTCCCAATGTTGTAAAATTCCCCCTAAAAGCCAACAGACGCACATTAAAATATGTGATGACAGTTTCTAACAAAACTGCATCTTCAGCTATGTGTATAGTGATGCACATTTCGTCACCTTCAAGCTGAGCTCCACAGAGGAGTTTGAAATGGTGGGCGACGACACCATGGAGTATTCGATCTCTGCATACTGGTCCACCTTGGCAAGGACTAGAGCAAAACGGAAAGTCACTTACACGCTCAACACCAGCCGAGTTTAAAGAATGGCCGACAGTACGGGATGTTTTACCGTTGAGAGTTTTCAACTGAGGGTTTAAATCAGACACTGCTTCGGTCACCAGAGGGCAGATCTGCAACAACAAAGAACAGAACAACACTATTTCTAGACTCCAAAAAAGAAGTACACAATGATTTCTGACCTGATGAAAAGTGGATATGGAGCATTTTAGAATCAATCAACAGTCGTGCCTTCACTTAAATGCATATTTTATCCACAACTTCTGCTGCTTTGTCCATAATTTCTAACTTTGTTTTAAGAATATCAAAATTAGGCAAAAGAGCACCGTACTGACAGAGGAAGGTTTGCTCCTTGAATATGTAATATGTATGAAAATGTTCATATCACATTTGGGTGTGGTGTCATTGGGAACTTGAGCCCTCCTGTGTTTAAAGTCTGACAGTTACTTTGCTGGTGTTTCAGAACAAACTTGTCAATCTGAGAGAAATTTGGAGGAAATCCAGAGGGCTCACGAAGGCTTTTGCAAATTATGCCACATGCACACTTTAAAAATCCCATTTTGTGCTTGTTGAATTGACCGTGCGGAATCTCCTGTACACAACTGATTTCATCCCAATTGACCAATTTGTTGCACAGGGGAAAAAGAAAAATTCCATCCATCCATCCATCCATCCATCCATCCATCGTCTTCCGCTTATCTGGGGTCGGGTCGCGGGGGCAGCAGGTGGAGCAGGTCGTCCCAGACCTCCCTCCCCCCGACGACGCTTTCCAGCTCTGCCTGGGGGATCCCGAGGTGTTCCCAGGCCAGCCGAGAGATATAATCTCTCCAGCGGGTCCTGGGTCTGCCCCGGGTTCTCCAGGTGGACGTGTTCGGAAAACCTCCAGAAGAAGCCTCCCTGGAGGCATCCGAAACAGATGTCCATACCATCTCAACTGGCTCCTTTCGACGCAAAGGAGCAGCGGCTCTACTCCGAGCTCCCTCCGGATGTCCAAGCTCCTCACCCTATCTCTAAGGCTGAGCCCAGCCACCCTGCGGAGGAAGCTCATTTCGGCCGCTTGTATCCGCGACCTCGTTCTTTCGGTCATGACCCAAAGCTCGTGACCATAGGGGAGGGTTGGGATGAAGATGGACTGGTAAATCAAGAGCTTTGCCTTGTGGCTCAGCTCTCTCTTCACCACGACGGTTATCCCTTACCAGATCAGTCCTTTAGTTTTACTCCTTTCTCTGTCTTCCCCCTGTTTAAAGGGGGCGATCCCTCAGTACTGAATAATTACCGTCCCATCTCCAAACTGTCTGTCTTGGCCAAGGTTCAGGAACAACTCATCAGTAATCAACTCAAGGAATTTCTTAACAGCAACAATAATTTATCTGTCTATCAATCTGGTTTTAGGAAATCACACAGTACAACTACTGCAGCTTTAAAAGTAATACATGACTTCATTGACTCTCTTGACAGTAAGCATCACTGTGCAGCTCTTTTCATTGACCTATCCAAAGCCTTTGATACAGTTGATCATACGCTTCTAAAACTAAGACTTCTCAGAATCGAACTTTCTCCACATTCCGTCAACTGGTTTGACAACTATCTCTCACATAGAACTCAGTGTGTACAAGCAAACAGACTCACCTCCAGCAGTTTAGAAATGACCAAGGGCGTTCTACAGGGGTCGGTTCGAGGACCACTCCTCTTTATCATATACATAAACAATATTACTGATAATGTTTCCAATGCCAATTTTCATTTTTATGCAGATGACACAGTGATATACACCTCAGCATCCACACCAGAACCGGCTATATCCCAGCTGCAAACTACTTTTAATATCGTCCAGTCAAATGTCTTTGACTTAAAACATGTTTTAAATTCAAGCATAACCAAATTCATGTTGTTTTCAAATTCCAAGTCAAAACCACTGAACCTGCCTGCAATCACCTCTTCTCAGGGTGTGCAGATCGAAACAGTGTCTCAGTATAAATACCTTGGAATTCTAATCGATGACTGTCTCTCCTTCACACCTCACATCCAGCAGCTGGCAAAGAGACTAAAATTGAAACTGGATTTTTACTTTAGAAGCAAGTCTTGCCTGTCCTTTGAGGCCAAAAAGAGACTTATTGCCGCCACTTTTATGTCCACTTTTATGTTGGACTATGGTGACACGGTATATATGAATGCTTCTGCTTGAAGCCTGAGTGTTTTAGATTCAGTGTATCACCGTGCTGTAAGGTTTATCACCAATTTTAAGTCTTTTCCTCATCATTGTTTGTTGTACTCTCGTGTTGGATGGTCAGATTTGTACACAAAGGAAGAAACACTGGCATATTTTAATTTGTAAATGTATTTTAGGCTTGCTTCCTAGCTATTTACAGGTTTTGAAAGAATGTGACCCCACTGAGTAGGGGTGGCTGTGAGAGGGTTGTATAAGGCTGGTTTGCCCTCACCTGTTTCTGCAGTTCCTTACGCGCTTTGTTTTCTAATACGTCTTTAATGAGATTGTACAGCCAGCTGAAAAAAACCACAGGAATCAAATGAGCGTGCAAAATGTCAAGCAGGACAAGTCAAGCTGGGGAAAAACTTGCGCTTACATGGGTTTGACAGTAAGGCCCAGCAGGTGTTTCTCTTACCTGGCTCCACCATGGAACTTGATTGTCAAGCTGCCAACAGTGGCTCCGCAACTGACAGTGCTGACCGCTGGCCGACCCGTCTCATCACTCTTGATGGCGATGTCTGTCGTGATTGTGAGTTTGTTCACATTCAGATCAAAAGAGCCGCTGTTCTTCCTGTTGAGAGACAAATGAGTCGCTGCTGTAGCCAAGATTTTTAAAAGTAAATGCACTGTGTAAGGAAGAGGTCTTTTCTCACTCACATATAATGCAAATACTTGATCTTCCAGTTTCCATGCAGGCTGATGAATGTGTTGCTAATAGACAGTCTAACTGCAGAACCTGGCACCAGATCCACTTCAGTCTTTGGTAATCCAATGTTGACTATTTGCATACTGGAAGAAGCAAAAGCAAGGGCAGTCAGTAATCCAGTTTCCAACCGAACTTAATGCTGTGTTGTATAAACCGGTGCCTTACTTTGACAATCTGTACTTGACCACGCCAATGTGCAACACCTTCCATGACCCTGAAATGTCGGGGATTTTGATGGATTTGAGTTTCTGCTGCAGGGCGGCAATGCTCTGTGATTTACCTACCGGGGGCAAGAAAATTCAATGATGAAACTCGGCGCTGTCACATGACCACACACACACATACACACACGTATGACTTGAAACTGAAAGAGGATACTTACCATATTCAAGGCCTTTTTCTGTAAGCTTGATCTTTAGTCCAGGTTTGGTGCTTAAGGTCGCAGGGACTAGAGCCAGCAGCAGAGCCAGCCAGCACCTCAGGTACATCTTGACTTCTGGGAGATAAAGGACAAGATCATCAGCAAAATGCTCATATTTCTGTGAAAACTACATCATAACACAGGCCGGAGTCTACTGTTTTGCTGTTTTCTTGGAAACCAATAAATCAAGGCTTTCCTTTTTAGAGTATGTTCAATAGAGGTTATTTTTTTCAAAGTCATGATTTACTGATGAATACACAAATCTATATAAATGAATAAATACAACAGTGTAAAAAATCTGTGTTTAAAATCCTGCGTCAGAAAAAGTAGGTAATAATAATAATAACTTTGTGTAGCACCTTTAAGAACAACAATTCACAAAGTGCTTTGATAGGAAGAACATAAAATATCAGGTAGGACAGGGTAAACACAGGTAAAAACAAAATAATAAACAAAAGTGCATGTGAATACACACTGTAAAAAATGAAAATGTACAGAATAGATGGCTAGTTAAAAGCTGGTTAAAAGAGAAGCTGAAGAGGAAATCAATGATAAAAATAGATTAAGATCAGGGGGATAAAAGGAAGGACTACAAGCTGTAAAAAGTTTAAAATGGTTAAAAGGGCAGAGACTGATAAAAGAGAAATAAAAGAGAACTTTACTTGAAGGCGAGTCTATGAAATTGGGTTTTAAGAAGTGATTTAAAAGAAGTTACTGATTCAATGAGCTTTATCTCTTCAGGCAGGTCGTTCCAAAGCCGAGGGGCCTTGACAGAGAAGAACCGGAGTAGAATAGTGGGAGTGTCTCAAAATAGTACTTGAGTTGTTGTGTACGTTTACTTTGGGTTGGACGAGGGATTTAGTTGAGGCCTGTGAAAGAGCCGACTGTTACTGCTGCACATATCACATGACTAAGTCAGCAGGCGAGCTGGAGTTTTATTAAATTAGGCTGAGATTCAAGGCCTAGTCCACAGTTTTTGTCCGCTTTGAATATGAATTTTTGAATCGGTATAGACATGTTGCAGGCTTTACGAATGAAAAAAGCACTTTGTGGAAAGTCCACAAGTCTGGGTTTTTCAAGGTATACGTGTAACACCTCATTTTAAACACACACGTATGGCTTTAAATTCTAAGCTGTTACATGCTTTTTGCCCACAATCAAGAGCTCCATCAGCTGAGAGTGAAACAGTCTAACCAGTTCTATCTTTTTTCTTTTGCAGGCAATGTTCCTTGAACTCTAGTCCAACAACATTGAATCTAAGACACTGGAGGTTTGCGAGTGATGTGCCGGGAGGGAGAAGGTGAGCTATTTTCAGTTCCTTCAGAAACTACATCCAAAACTTAGTGTAACAGAAAATGTTCTGCAGAAACAAACCATAATGAACCATGAAACCAAAAACATTTGTTATCGCTGTCTTCGTTTTTGATAAAAAGTATCTACTGTATGTTTCATCTAAATGTAAATCCCAAATCCCAAAACACATCAACGCTGCAACAAATATGAATCACATCTGTCTTAACTTGGGTTCCTAGTTGAGTCAGTACTATTATTAATATTTTATTACACAAATAAACAAATCAGAATAAATGGGATGATTAAGAGCAGGAATCTGCATTTGTTAGAAACAGCTTCAGACATTACACTTCATTTTAAGTTAAACACTTTCTGAGGTTGTCATTGTTAGATCTCTACAAAATGTCATCATCTAAATCGAGCACAGCTCACTCTTACCTGAACCGGTATGTCAGGAACCGACGATCTCTCCTGGTGCACTGGTGTGACTGCTCATAAAACAGAGTAAAAGAGGAAGAGAGGCACATGGCCTGTAATTCACTTACTGATTCAGGATCTGAGCTGTGCGAGGGGGACTTACCCAGTGCCATGAAGCAAGCTTGGAGTTTGACATGTCTATCGACTGAATCCCGCTCTGCTCTCTTGCAATTTTTTTCAAAAGTTACAGGAGACCAACAGTGGTGAAGAAATTACTTATCTGAGTTTTGTTTGCATAACGACAGACTGAAACCTAAAGTATTAGATTATTTGTCTCTGTCTGTGCTACTGCTGAGATATCTGTTTTCTAGTTCCTTATGTGAACTTCCAGTCAAGTGTCACACAATAAAGTAAGCACACATACCTGAAACCGGTTCCTCAAACAAGAGTTCAAGCCTCAATCACAAGCGGCCGTACGGGCTCCTATGGCCTGTCTGGGTCCAAATTACGTGCAGAATGGCATGTGCCACGCAAGTCCGTCTTGCAGGTCGCAGACAGCGCTTAGGTAGCTCAGTGAAGCTGACCCCCCACCCACATAAAAGATCCAAGCAAACAGGCTGAGTGGTTAGTGCTTCGTTTGTACCGTTAAAATTTTGGTTTGTGCTGCTATAGTTTCTGAGATATTACACGTTTTATTTACAGACGATCAGTTAATCCAAATCGATTATGTCTGTGGTCTGTGCCATAGACATCAACGCCACTATCTGTGGCAATGGCGTACACCTTTTTGGTCTGTATCATCCCTCATTTAGTAGATGTATCAATGCAGGTTTAAAGCAGCACTTTCAAATCTGTCACTGTCTTCTGTTGATGCGGTGAAGCTTTCGATTATCTTTGAGTGTGGTGACTATATATTTTCAGTGACAAACCTGTTTTATAAACTTTGAACATGATGACACGGGCCTTTACTCCCGATGTTGAACTTTGTTGATTGGCCAACAGCTACTATGCTGTTAATACATTACATGTAATGTATATCGGTTCCAAATATCAGTTATCGGCTGATTTCAGGTATTGAAATCAGCCGATATTTCAGGTATTGAAATCAGCCCTAAAAAAACAAAACAAAAACCCATAGCGATCGATCCCTAATCACCACTGTACCCATTCGTTCTTTCAAGCCATTGCCATACATTGGCATCTCTGCATTAAATTACCATAATTTGGTTTCATGATCCCCAAGTTAAGAGTTATTTTATCACATTCATAAGTTGGTAACTCTGGCTAGTTATTAAAAACAGCACTGACACTACTTTATTATTCTCTTACTGTCAACAAATCTAATGAGTATTTGATGTGATCCACTGGTGTGTTTTAACATTTTTTGGACAACAATGAAGCTCTATGGCAGGAACAAGATAATGAATACAGAGACAATGGATCTTTCATACAATTTCTTGAGAGTAAAGGGTCTATCACTTACTTTGTCACCTACTTGGTAGAGCAACATCTACTTTGGAAAGGGTTCATCTCAAATCTGACATTTGTTAAAAATGTATTGCAGTTTTTAAGACAGTCTGTCTATTGGAGCTTGCTGATTGCTGGAGCTTGTTGTCTTCACTGTTGCCAGGACTTTGTGTTTCTCCCAAAGCCAGAAGATCAGCATCCACTCTGGGCCCCCTGCCTGACCTATCAGGTACTTGGAGTCAGGGGAGAAAGCCATGCATACAAACTCTTGAACCAGCATATCTCCTGCAGTCAGAACTTTCCTCTTTCTGCCCTGCTCATGCTGCAGGTCCAACACGGTGATGGAGGCCTTCTCTCCACACTCTGACACTGCCAGGTAACGCCGGTTGGAACTCATGGCCAGAGCACG